GTGCGTCCCTGAGCCCCACATGCAGACAAAGAGGTGAGAGGACTGCTTGCTGGAGTGAGTCCTCTCCCTTCTCCGTGTGGGTCCCCAGGATGGAACTCAGTCTGCCTGCTTTGGCAGCAGGCGCCTTTACCCTGCTTGCTGTCTCCTTAGCCCCATCTCTATCTTTTAAGACTGGGTCTTTCATTGAACCAGAACTCACTAGTTCAGTCCAGCACACTCCAGACAGAGACCGCCTGTCTCCAGCCCTCCCTCAGCACTCAGGTTCCAGGTGTGAGTCACCCCTCCCCGTGTTTTTCTGGGGTGAAAGATCTGAATCGAGGTCCCTCATCCTTGTGCTGAAAGTAGGGCGTTCTGAGCCATAGCCCCAGCCTTAGTCATTCTGTATGTTTTAAATGATAAAGAACACGACGCTGTGCAGTAGGTAGCGTTGGCTTGAATTAGAAAAGACCATGAAAGACACCGGAAACACAGGAGAATCAAACAAAGAGGAGCTGCCAGCCAGAGGACTGTTGGGGGTCTGTCTCACCGCAGTCCTGGAGGTGCGGTCTAGGGCCTGGCTTTGGAGGGTAGCTTATTGAACTTGACTGAAGACCAAGGCTACAGAATCCTATCTGAAACTGTTTAACAGCTCTGGATAGGTTTGCAGAGACATCTCACCAGCTAAACACCAGGTCTGTGCCAGAGACCACGGGGTCCTGCACTATAGAGAATATTTTTTTCCATTGTACATATTGGCAAACTGTGTACGAATGTCTGACAAATGACAGAACTAGCATTCAGAGCCAGATTTTCACCTGGAAAATGTGGCCACCGCCCTCTATGACTGTCAGGGCGGTGTTCTGCACAGAAAGCTTTAGCCTTTGCAAGCCTGTTAGGATTCTCTTTCAGAATCAGTGCTGTCTCTGCAGTGGTTTGAATCTGGAATGTTCTGCACAGGCTCATTATTCAGCACTTGCATCCAGGTTGGAGGCACTTTTCTAGAATGTGACAAGGCATAATCTAGCTGGGGAAGTAGGCGACAAAGGGCAGATTTTTCCCATGTGTTGTTTCTGTTCATTTCTGGATTTCCTCCCTGCTTCTTGGTCCTGTGAGCGGCTTGGTTCAGTCACACACTTCCACCACCACAATGAAGCGGCTCCACTGTGCCTTTACTGCCACGGTGGACTAAAGCCACGAGCCCAAACAGATGTTTGTGTGTGTTGTTTCTGCTCTGTCAGAGTGCTGCAAAACACACGCTCTGCTGCGTCCTGTCCCAGGTTTGCTCGGGGTCATTTCATTCTTTTCTTCCCGCGTTGTCAAGGACTTAAGGCCTTCTGGAATTTCTGACTTTGTCCCCCCCGCCCCCCAGTCGGCCACTTGTCATCGAGTAGCCGGATAGAGGAAACTGCACGTGTGTGAAGACCTTCTCCACACCCCACCTCCCACCCTCCCGCAGCATCCTCCAACATTCTTGCATCATTAATTGAAATATTTACAGTTAATATTTTCCCAAGAGCAGGAACTGAGTGTGTCTGTGTGTGTGGGGGGGGGGGTGGGGTGCCCCCCTTGAGCTCGCCTTTGACCCCAGTCCTGGCCCCCTGCCTGATTTTTTTTTTTTTTTTTTTTTTTTTTTTTTTGCTGTCGCCTCTCACAGGAGACAAATGTCACATCCACACGAGCCTCTGGCGTTTCTTTTGAAACTAGACATGACTGGTTGTAACTCACATGTAAATATGACATGTTCAGTGCCTTAAATGCAAGATGTGTCCACTGTGGGGGCATGACCTCACAGCGGGTCACCTAACCGAATTGGGGGGGCACTGTAAAATATTTGGCTATAGTATAAGATTTCTGAACATGCAACAACCAGGACATTCCAAATCGAACATGTGATGAATCTGGGTGCGTTTGCAGCGACTGGCCGTGCTGCGTGGTGCTACCCTGGTTCTGAGCACACAGCAGTAAGGTCCACTGTACATGCCATGCCGATCAGTCTCCACAGTTTGCCCGAGATTTAAGACTGCTATGTGCTGCGAACCGTACTGTTTCATGCAACAAAATTTTCTACTCTTAAAGAAACAGAATATTCAGTTATGTAAAACAAAGACCTTGAATATTTTCTCACTATTATTCCCTCATTCCATCATTATTAGTAGTACTTGGATTACATTGTGTTAGTATTTGATTTTAAAATTTGCTATTTGAGTTGCTGACTTGAGTTTCATAAAAAAAAATCATCAAATGAATTTTGGCTTGAATTTGGGCAGAATTTCCAACAATATCTGAAATGGCCTAAGCATACTTCTATGGTTTTGTGTTACATATTTATGTGAAACAGAATTTTCGAACTTTGGTGATTCTAATCCCAAACCACCCATGAACTCCGTAGAAGGTTGTAGATACTCTACAGTTTCAAATACTTACAAGATCTAATCTCTGTGTGAAAACTAAACAAACTTGCCTATCTCTTTACTATGGAAATCTACTTTTGTCTTTAATAAGCGGTAAAAATCTTACGTATGATGACAAAGAATTGTTTTCAAACACAATCTTAACTTATCAGTAAGTCCTTGACTTGTATTATCGATTTTATATACTTACATATTTGATGCTGTAAAATGATAAAAGGGATTACCAATGGAAAAACTTGAAGAAACCATACTTAAACAATTGGAAGAGTAAACTATAGTGTATAGAAACAATAAATCATCACATACTAAGAGCTTTAGGTGTGCAAGCATTATGTGTAAGTTAGTCTGTTCTGTAGGTTCTGCAGATGGCACGGGATAGACACCACTGGCACATTTTCCAGATGACGCCACGAAGGTGCAAAGAGTTCCAGAGTTGCATGATGCATATGGAGGAAAAGCAGAAAGTGGGGTCGGAACTCCGGTCTTTGCCTTCCTGGTTTATCATCTCAGTCATTCCACTGGCTTGGCTCCCCCCCCCCCCAGGGCTGGAAAGAGGCCTGCCTTCACAAACAAAGCAGATAAGTCCTAAGACTTGAGGCTAGACACTGGGAAATTCTTAAACCCTTTGAAACAAATGAAAGAGAGGTACAGAGACTCAAGCAGTTATTTTGCGCAGAAAGACACTTGTCTTTGAATTATTTACATTAGTGAAATGGTCTCATATTTATTTTAATAGTCTAGCTCAGAACACCTTATAAGAACACTTGCTGCTTATTCTAATCCCCTTTGAGCTGTTTTGGGAATGTCTTACAGCATTTTGTAGACTGGAGATCACCAAATAAGTTATTTTCACGTGCTCTTCTCTCTCTCTCTCTCTCTCTCTCTCTCTCTCTCTCTCTCTCTCTCTCTC